ATGGTAAAAGATTGTTCCAGAAGCACTGTTCCTGGGGCTGGTCGGCTTGGTCAGCTCCAGCTGCCCCACTAAGTCTGGGAAAGGCAGTCCTTGCTGTGTGTATTTGTCCTGGTGTCCCTCCTGATGTTTTACACTGGAGCATGAATATTCACGCTTAATGGATTTGTTGGGAAATGGCTTGAGATCCTTCTTTTACCAAGTTTCTTCTGTTGCTGTCACCATGGGTATTTTTTAGAGCCCTCCTACCTAAACCCTCTGGCCAGGGCCTTTGTGTGCTCACATAAAGCACCTGCCTTTTTCCTCAGACTTCTGATGAGATCTTGGCCTGTACAGGATTATGGAGCTATTGTCACCAATTCTAAGAGCAAGTTACACTTTCCCAGGGCTCTGCTCTCCTTAGGCACCAAGGGGCAGGATCTGATGGCCTGGGGTTCTCTTGAGCCATCCACCCATCCTCTAGGAGGCTGATTCTCATCAACATTTTATTTTCATTTTTAAATTTTTTTATCAACATTTAAAAATTATTAGCTACAAAGAAAGAAACAAGTTGAATCATGTACAGGTATACATTCTCCATGATGACTGTGATCACTATATATACCTTCAATGCACAAATCAAATCTGATTGGAAAAAAAAAACTGTCAGCTACAAAGGGTCTGCCCTGGAATTTTTGTTTTTGATAGTGAAGATTTTCTTTTTCTTCTTTAGAACTGGATGTATTAAAACACCTTGTGTTTAATTTGCCTTGTATTGGTACCCCTGCTCAAAAAGTGTACTTTCAAAGAATAATTACTTTTTAAACTAATCATTCTTTGCTGTTTGAAAAATTATTCATGGGGCTGGGGATTTAGCTCTACTGCATAAGCGTTGCTCGGTACCGATAAAAAAGAAAAAGACAAAAAAAAATTTATTCAGTCACCTTTTAGAGCACAGTAAGGAATCACTAAGTTAATAACAAAATCCTTTATGGACAATGTGCCCACTCAATGGCCTCATCTCTATTGTTCTACTCAGTTGGTATTTATCTTTCAGCCTAACCATTTTTATCCATTTCTGAAGCACCCAAGAGTGCAAAACTGTGTAAACAGAGGGAACATTGTTGTCTACTGTTTGCTCTCTGGCTTAGTCTCTCGTTAGCCTTCTGATCCCTGCTCCAGCTCCAGGGTCAAAGGTCATGGACTTAAGGGTCCTCTTTAATTACTCCGTGCTAACTGAGGAGAAAGCTAAGGGGCTGGTGCCTCTTGTTGTGAAACCTGGCTGCATCTCTAAGTGGGATTGCAGAGGAAGTTAATTTTGCATTCTAAAAACCAAAGCAGTGCAACAGTAACTGAAATAGACCATCGCTGTAGCTGGGAAGTGATCCCCCCATCTGTCACAAAGCATTCTTTGTTAGGGTTCACTTGGCTTTCCTGCACAAAGAAAACTTGATTTATGCACCTGAAGGATGTATCTTAGCAACAGCTGTGGAGGAAATGTACTGAGAAACTTTTTCTAGGCTTCATCTAAAGGGAGTCACACGCACTGCTGAGGTTAAAGAAGTTTAACATGTTCTCTAGAAAGTACTTTACATACAGTTACATTAACTTTAAGGAGGAAAAAGAAGTAATTCGTCTTCTTAGCTGGTGGTAGATTCGTTTATTCTTAAGATACACATCCCGGCACCACAGTAGGAATTATACATACATTTTCTAAAGGCATATTGCAATTTGGCAAGCAGCATTAGGGTTAGTTTTTTAAAAGTTGTTTTTAATAAAATTCTGTTTTTCATCCATTTCTACTTATTAATTAAAAGTAAACCTGAAAAACAACTTTTGTTTTGAAATAATTAGCGATTCACAGGTAGGGGCAAAGAAAGGTCCAGTAATGGCTTTTACACCTTCCCTCAAGCCCAGGAAGCCCCTTGAAAAGTCTGTTTTGTTTTCCCCTGAACTGAGGAAGCAAACAAGGATTGAAGTAGAAAATGAGTTGCATCAGTTCCAGCTCAGAGTAAAATGGAGACAGCACTGCAGGCTTGTGTGGCAGCACAGCCCTGAGGAGCCGCAGGGGCTGCGGCAGGGCCAGCATCCCAGCCACCACCAGTCAGCCGGCTCCTGCAGAGTCCTCCTAATGCAGAGGCCGGCTCAGGGCAGCAGGAGGGGAGGCCTGGGAGTCTTTAGGTTCCCTCCTCCCGCCGCTGTGCTCCAGCCCTTGTCTTTCATGGTGGGAAAGCAGGTTTTTTCCCCAGAAACTCCTGGGAAGCTGCTGAGGAGAATTCCATAACTAACCAGTAGTAGCAGACTGAGCAAATTACTTTCCACAACTAATAATATTGGGTTGGAAAAAACAGGAGGATCCTGGGTGTGTGTGTGTGTGTGTGAATGCATGTGCCTTCTGTGCTGTCTAGCACCTGAAATGTTTATGTGAAATCCTCTGTAGTAGAGGAGTCTTAGTCCCATATCGTGTGTGGTGCTTCTATATCATACTAAAATTTTTAACAGAAAGTTTTAAAAGAAAACCCTAACATTTTAAACAATTGTTATGTGAAAGTAAAGAAAATTAAGAATGAACGAGTCAACCAAGGTCCCATTTCTCCCTCTAGGAGATGTCACTCAACCCCCAGTGAGCAACTGAGCAGCACTTTCTGTTGGAGTCTCTTGTATTAAGCCCTGTATTCAGCGCTAAGGAAGAGACACACAGAAAAAGGGAAACCAGAGCCCAAATGGCTGATATAAGGGATATGGTATGCAGAATGTCCTCAAAGACTCCTGAGGAGTGTGGCTAGGTTTGTCTAGGGGTGAAGATCAGGAAGTGCCAGTGAAGAACAATCAACAGAACCTAATGTGCGCAGAACATGCAAAATTCTACTTGCAGATGACTGAAAGGTTTGGAGTCTAGATAATGGTGATGGTTACACAATATGAATGTGGTTAGAACCACTGAGTTGTACATTACATGATAATGGTTAAGATGATAAATTATGTATGTTTTACCACTTCTGTATAACCATTTTTTTTTCTGGGTGAAAAATAAAAGCTGAGATGAAAATTCTTGATCAGAAAGATCATAGATCCAACTAACAGCTATGGTAGGAAGATCCCACATGCAGTGAGTTCCACTGAGAACCTACCACAGGGCTCTCCAGATAGCACCCTGTGCTGCCCTTTCCCTTCCCCCGGGCTGTATTACAGTGGTTGGGTCCTTCTGTGCTGTACAAAGACGGTGAGGCCAAACACTGGCCCTGTGATAAACTTGACAGTCTTAGGTGCTCCTAAAGTCTAAACCTGGTGATTCCAGGGGGTCAGCAGAAGCTTACCACGGACGAGCACAGTGGAAAAAGTGAGAAGGCCAAAATATTTCTTCTTCCCATTCTGTGCCATCCAGTGGATACAAAAGTGCATGGAGGAATTTCCCCTGCATCCTGCAGGAAGAGGTTTAAAAATGCATTGCCTTTTCAATTAAGATTAGCTATAAATAAATAAATAATATCTACGGCCAGTCTGGCTGTGATGCCACACACCTGTAACTGCAGCTCCCTGAGAAACTGAGGCAGAAAGAGTACATATTCAAGCCCAGCCTGAGCAATGTAGTGAAAAGAATCTGTCTTAAATTTTTAGAAAAACATTACAAAGGTTGTGAATGCCCTGGGTTTATACCTAAGAACTGCTAAATAAATATGAAAGAGTAGAGCCCTAAACTCCCTGTGACCCAAATCGGTGAAAGGACAATAATCCAGTCCTAAGAGAGATACGAGAGGTTGTACTTCCTAGCTGCAGAGGGGTTATTAGCACAGGACCTGTTGGACCCAGTGATAAGCTTTCTGACAGGTTACAGCAGGGAGCCTCATTCCACTTGGCCATCATAACTATGTTTTGTGCTCTTCTCTGGGAGCATCTGAAAGCACAGGATTAAGGGGACAGTCAGTAAAGCCACCTGTGTCTGACCTATCATTGTTCCATTTGCAAAACACGGTGTGCAAGTGGATAGATGGGCATGTGTGAGAGACTTCCTGCCACACAGACAAACCTGAGGACAAGATAGCCACTCAATAGCACAACAGGAAGAAAGCACGCAGCTGCGCAGTGCATATCAAATGTGAATGCTGATGCTGCAAACCACAGGACCACCCATCTTCCTGTCTGCATCCCTGGGGAAGCCTTGGTGGCTTGGGGAAGGTCACCTTATCATCAGACAGGGTCTGAGGAGATCCCCCAAAGGAGACAGGAACCTCAACTTGCTTCCCCCAACCCACCATGCAGTAGATAATAGGTTTTCTGTTACAGGAAAAGAATTTTAGGACATGTCAGTGAGAGGTAAAAGCAGACTTATTAGACAAAATGAAGTACACACCCAGAAAAAATAGAGAGGCCTGCAAGAGATAGGTGCCAGAGGTCTTCTTTTAGGAAAAGCACAGCACACACAGTTAGTGTTCCTAAATCCTGTTCCTTCTGGTTTGTGATCTGTTTTGCCCCTTTCACGGTTTCATACAAATGGGCTGAAACAGACTTTCAGCCTGGCCGATTTTGACCCTGAGAGACATCAGGCAATACCTGGAGACAGCTTTGCTTGCTGCAATGGCAGGAAATGCTACTGGCACCTTGTGGATGGGTTTAGGGTCACGATTAGACATCCTGAAATGCCCAGGACAGCCCCTCTAACAGTTATTTGGCCAGGGTGACCAGCCATCCCAGGGTGCCTGTAACTTTTGTGGTTATAGCCCTGAAAATGTTCTGTTCCATGAATCCTATAGTCCTGGGTACACTGGAAACACTGGTATGCAGATGTCTGGTCAGATGCTGGAGACGTCCCTAAAGAAGAGACCATTATGCAAACATCTTTCTCTTCTGTAGTTTCTACCAGCATATATGTTCCATTAACATATTTTGTGTAAAAACTAATGAAAGACAAGCAATTCTTTGTTTTCTTCTTAACAGGTCTTTATAACAATTCTTGGCTTACTAATTGCAAACATTTTGTACCCTATTAGATTTATCACCTAACTTTTTCTTGCTCTCCTATATAGGTGATGTCTTTCCCGTGCAAATGAATCCAATAGCTCAGTCTCAGTTTGTACCCTTGGCTGAAGTTCTTTGTTGTGCAATATCTGATATGAACACAGCTCAGATTGTAGTAACACAAGAATCACTTCTGGAGCATTTGAAGGAACATTACCCAGGTAAAGTAATAAATTTTTCCTGTCTCCATTCATTGCATATTTGGTTTCTATTTCTAAATAATCTTAAACATAAGTAAACTGGATAACATTTTTATCCCATTGAATATTATTGCAGAACACTACTAGAATAGGTCTTATATCCACAAACTTGATAAGGAATTTTCTTTACTTTCTAGATGAATATTTTCAAAAATGAATGCTTGAGGCAATAAATAAGATTCTATAGAAAGTGGTGAAATGACATGAAAGTGTTTATCTTTTCCTACTTCCCATTTTCCATGTCTGTTTCATAGCTGCTATTGTCAATTCTTTTGCACACTTTCTAAATTGTATTTGAATATATAATAGACACACACACACACACACACACACACACACACCCCTTTTTGTGCTACTAGGGATTGAAACTAGGGCCTTTGCACTGAGCTACATCCCAAGCCTTTTTTAAAAAAAGTTTTTATTAAAAGTCACTAAGTTGTCCAGACTGGGCTTAAACTTGCAATCCTCTGTCTCAGCCTCCTGGAGTTCTGGGATTACAGGTGTGTGCCACCATGTCCTCTAGAAATGTTCATGACATAAATGGAGTCATTATATGCAGTCTCTCTCTCTCTCTGCCTTTTTCTTATAAAAATTGAAATCATGATTTATAAAAATGTGACTTATAAAAATTCCTGTTTGCTTGACAGTAATTCTTTCCTCAAAGTTAAAACATTTTTTTTTTAAATTTCACACTAGGAATAAACTCTACCACTGAGACATATCCCTAGCCTACAAACTTTTAGTAGGTTTTTTTTTTTGTGTGTGTGTGTGTGTGTGTGTGTGTGTGTGCACAAACTCACAACCTTGGGCTTGCCAGGTAGGCTCTTGTGTTGCTGAGATATATCCCTGCTAAAGTAATTTGTATTTGAATGAATTCAAATTTTTTCCCCTGTTTAATCATTAACTTTGTTCTGTGTCTTTATGGGACCAATTTATACTGGCATTATTCAATTAAATTATGAATAATATTTATGCTGCTTTGGTATTTCAGCTACATGTATTAATTGCATTACAGTTAGTTCTAGGTTCATCAGACAAATGTATGGTCATTTCTGTATCTTTTTTTTTTTTTTGAAGAAGAGTCTCCTTATACATTTGTTTTGTTTTTATTTGTGTATTTATTGATCCAGGAATCAAACTCATGACCTAGTGCTCGCCAGGCTTATGCCGCTAAATCCCCAGTCCTTTATTTATTGATACCAGGAATCGAACTCAGGGCCTTGTGCTTGCCAGGCTGGCAATGTGCTGCTGAGGACATCCTCAGCCTGAGTCTTCTTTTTGTCTTACAGGCAGGTTTTGAGCTCATGGCGATCTTCCTGCCCCAGCCACCCAAGTTCTGGGGTTAGAAGTGTGTACCTTCACACCTAGCTATTTCTGAGTTACCAATCATCCCTTAAAATGTTTCTTATTCGAGCTCTATCAAAGTAAAATCTTGTTCGTTTTAGGCATTGCACTCCCTTCTCAAGATATTCTCTATACCACTCTGGGAACTCTGATTAAAGAAAGGAAGATTTATCACACTGGAGAAGGGTACTTCATAGTTACATCTCAGACTTACTTCATCACAAATACAACTGCCCAGGAAAAGAAAAGAGCCCTTCTGTCAAATGGAAGACCCCCAGCGGCTGCTTCTGTGACCTATCTGGTGAGCATGGAGAGCTGTGCAGAGCTGGCCAAGGAGAACTCGGTCCCCATTTCCCACTGTCAGTCTTGCCGCTGTTTCCCTGATGTGTGCCGTCAAGATGTCGAAGAGCCACCACCTGCTGCAGAAATGACTAGAAAAGGCCAAAAACGGCTTGGGGAATCCACACCTTTAGTTCAGAATCAGGCAGTTTCAACATCTGAGGAGAATCACTTCTGTGAGAGCACCAAAACTTTACCATACACAAAAGACAAAGAAAAAGGCAAAAAGTTTGGTTTCCGCCTCCTGTGGCGCAGCATTTCTAGAAAGGAGAAGCCCAGAACAGAGCATAGCAGTTTCTCTGCCCAGTTTCCACCTGAGGAATGGCCTGTCCGAGATGAAGATAACTTGGACAATATCCCCAGAGACGTTGAACATGAGATCATCAAAAGAATTAACCCCATTCTGACTGTTGACAACCTCATCAAACATACTGTCCTCATGCAGAAATATGACAAACAGAGGAAATCTAACAGTCAGGGCACTTCCACTGACATGCTGACAGTCAGGCCTAAAAATCCTTCCAAAGAGGGAGTTAAGAAAAGGCAAGGTAGATCGGCCAAGCATGGCAGGAGGGACCTTTCTCACAGGGAAAGACCCAAAATCCGTACTCAGGGGAGTGAGCGTCAGCCAGGAAGCCTTATGCTGGAGAAGCCCCCCAAGCTCCCTGCTACCCAGCCCACCCCTCAAGTTGAAAGCACCAAAGAAGCAGAAACTCAGACAGGGCTTCATGAGCATGCAAGAGCACTAGGCTCTCAAGTGATTTACAAGAAGCGAATCAGTAATCCTTTCCAGGGCTTGTCTCTCAGAGGGAGCCCAGTAACAAAAAGGCACAGCATTCAGAAGAGAAGTCATGTGACACCTAGAAGCCAGATTGCACCAAAGGAAAAGCCTCTCCAAAGGTCAGGGTCTTCCAAGCCCCCAAGACTTTCTGATACTGAAGCCCAACAGCCACAGGCTGAGCAATGTAACAAGATGAAAGGAGAACCCATTTATATGACCAATTCTACTATCCAGCCTGTCAGTGATGACTTCACAGATGACCTTTCAAATTACCCACAAGGTAGTGACTTGCAAAGTGACAGCCAATGCTACTCCTTTAGGGAAGGCATGTTGAGATATGATGTGTATGGTGCAGAAAACAAGATGATATACGAAGCTATGAAGAAAAGTCCCTCTCACTTTGACAAATTAGGGGAGGCCAAAGAAGCACAGCATATGCTGCCCCTGCATGGTTCCTCCTCTTTAGATCCATCCTCTGCTTGTAGATCACTTGATAAAACAATACACCAGTTTGAAAACCTTGGTCTGTTAGATCACCCAGTTGGTGTGGACCATTTGACACAATCTGAGAGGCAAGACGGAATTTCAGAAGAATTAATGAGAAAGACATTTGTTCAGGAGACAGAGACTGCAAGTCTAGAAAATGAAGGGCTTTCTGATAATGACCAGGTTTTGTATCTGGAGGAAGAGGAGGAGGAGGATGGAGCCTGCAGTTCATTGTATTTAGAGGATGACGACTTTTCTGAGAATGATGACTTACATCAAACACGGCCTGGCTGCATTCAATATTCCTTTGCAAGTGGAAGCAAGTGTAATCATTTAGGAAAACCAAAAGTGACTGAGGGATTGCAGACTGCATGTAGTAGCAACACAGACTGGTTTGTGCCACCAGTGCTTAAAAAAAATCAACATTACAGGCCCACTGGGTGGCTTACAAACCCAGGTGAAAGCCAAGCACCTAATCTCTCTGCGGAAAGCTGTGGCCTCAATTCAGGGGCCCAGTTTGGTTTTAACTATGAAAAACCCAGTGTGGCTACTTGTGTCCAGGCCTTAGCACCTGCTGATGGAAGTTTATTTGGTTGTTATAGTGCAAGGAAACCCAATTCTGAGGCTGAAGTCTCTCAGTCTTCTGGTAGTGACACAGGAAAGAAACCAAGTAGCTGGAATCACAGTCCTCAGAATCAGGAAATGAGAAATCACTTCACACAAAAGTTAGAACTTTTCAGCACTTCATGTATATCAGTGCTGGCTCCAGATGTTCATCATGAACACAGTCATTTGGAAGGAACAGAAAATCATAGCATGACAGGCGATAGTGGAATAGATTCTCCACGGTAAGTGCACAAGAAAGTTTGCTTAGACACTATCCCACAGGAGTTATTAAAATCAAGGACTTCTTGAGTGCTCAGTGGGAGACTCCTGAGTAAACTATTATACTGATGCAATTCTGCCAGCTGTGAATAAGTTACATAAAGCTACAGTGAGAGCTCATATCACAGAACAGCGTTTTTTTATTTGTGCTTATTAACTATTCAAAAGAGTTGCATTTTAGCACTTTTTTAAACTTTTTGGTGGTGCTGGGGATTTAACCCAGGGCCTTGTGCATCCAAAGCAAGAATTCTACCACTGAGCCACATCCCCAGCCCCTCATTTTGACATATTTTTACATCCACATAATCATAATTTGATCATCCTTACCCAGTATCCCCATTAAGAGTTTATTTTTAATGTGAACCAAGTTTTACTGGTTCAATACTAATACAGTAAAGCTTGACTTATTTCTAAATATTGAAAGGAACTCTGAAATTAGCGTTTGAAGCTTTTCATTTGTATTCAAAACAGATTAAGCAAGAGTGTAAGTACTTTCCACCAATATCGTTCACTCTAATTTGTTTAAATAGTGATGTTCAGGTTATAAAAGTAGTATGATCATAATAGAGCATTTAAGAAGCCCTGAGGACTGGGATATAGCTCAGTGATATAGCTATAGCGATACAGTATGTGCAAAATGTTGGGTTCAGTAGCCTGCACTAAAAATAAAAGTACTATTGGGCACTCAGGAGGCTGAGGCAGGAGGATCACTCCTAGTTGGAGGCCAGCCTGGGCTACATAGTTTTTGTGTGTTTTTTTGTTTTTGTTTTTTGGTGCTGGGGATTGAACTCATGACTGTGCACTTGCCAGGCAAGTACTTATGCCTGCTGAGCTAAATCCCCAGCCCCTGGGCTACGTAGCTTAAAGCTTACCTGAAATACACAGTAAGCCCTTATCAAAAAAGAAAGAAAGAAAGAAAAGTCGGGATACCACATGTCACTGGAACAGTTGGTGAGAGAGTTTTATTTCTCCTGTAGGCAAGATCAGCTACCCCAAATCAGCTTTAAAGCAGTCACAGAAGACAGACCTTTACTCTTCATTTCTCCTTAAGGAGGATGGGGAAAAAAAAGATGAAATGAGGGTGGGGGAGACAGAAGTGCCATCTGACTTTTTTTGCTGGCTGGAGGGGTTGCAGCTTAGTCAGCAGCTGCCTGCCTCTCCTCCTTGCTTCCCCTTGCAGCCCAACAGACTGGACACTTAGCTTCAGTGACGCTGTGGCTATCAATCTGCTGCTATTGTCAACATGAGAGCAGTCAGACCGGGGCACGGCGCCCCTCCCCCACTCCACCACCTAGAATATACTGTTACATTTAATAAAGAAAGGGCACCCTGGAGTAGCTAAGGCCAGAGAGGGAGGGATCAGGACCCTGGTTGTACATGGAACATCCATGTCATGCTTTCTAGAAGATTCCTTGGTTTTAGCTCTCTCACTGAAACAGGCCTGTAACCTGTTACATAACCAGCACTTCTCAGGCAGGTTTTTTTTAAGCCTGGGAGTGCTTCCTCCTGTGTACTGACCGCCCATAACCTCCCACCCCCACCCCATGCTGCAGCACAGGTCCTGTTACAGTAAACATTTGCTGTGGTGTCCCTGGGTGGGCACAGTATTGTTTTTTTTTTTTGTCTTTTTCCTTTTAATTGGTACCGGGACTGAACTCACCACTGTCTGCTTGCAGGGCAGGCGCTTATGCCTCTGAGCTAAGTCCCCAGCCCCAAGTATTGTTTTTTTCTTCTGGTTTTTTTTTTTTTTTTTTTTTTTTTTGAGACATGTATTCTGGCTGTACTTGAACTCACTGTGTAGCCCAGATCAGCCTCAAACTGGTGATAATCTTCCTGCCTCAGCCTCCCAAATTCTGGGATTACAGGCCAATGCTAATACCACTGGCCCTCAAAAAGTGTTTTAAACACCTGTAATTATTGTACTATTTTTTTCAAAATTCTTTCATATTTAATGTATTTGTAATATTTAAGTTTAAACATAAAGATCTATACTTTTTGTCTCAACGCATAGATTCTATTTCCCATACTGCTTTTTTGCTTTGTTTTCTGTATTGGGAATCAAGCCCAGGCCTTATGCTAAGTACTAGGTGAGCATTCTACCACTAAATTACATCCCTACCCCTAACTGTAGGAATTTCTCACAACAAATCATACACAGCCATGACTTTTTTTCTCTCTCTCAAGCAGAGTTCTTCTCTGTTACCCAGATTGGCTTCAACTCCCAATCCTGCTTCTTGAAAGCTGGGGTTATAGGAGTGTGCCTGGCTTTATAGCTTTCTTTCCTTCATCAATTTATAATGGATATACTGAAATTAACACCTTTTAATCTAAACTCTTTTTTGTTTTGGTTGAGATGCTAGGGACTGAACTCAGGCCTTGCATACGGTAGACAAGTGCTCTATCACTGAGCTACTACATTCTCAGCCCCACTGTTATTTCTTTATTGGGGGAACAAGATTTTTTCTGCTTGAAACAATAGTGTGATTCATACTAATGCATTAAGGGAATCAAAACATTGTTCCAAAGTACATAAGTAATGGTGTAAACCAACAAACTGAGTTCCCTTTATCTATGGCAAAATCAATTAAACTAAATCAAACAGATTAGGGAGATTACTCCGACATGCAGTTGAGAATTCTAATGTGTAAAATCTCGAGAAATTTAGTTTTAAACTAAAAACTACTGCTGTCATTAGCTGGACAGGCAAAAGAAAGTTTAGAGGAGAAGTTGCAAAATTTAGTAGGGGAGAAGATAACATTTGAACACCTCTATGCCTTGTTACAAAGATTGGGGAATAGAAATGAACAAGACACTGTTGGTTCTACAGGAAGCTTATCACTTACTTTTTAAAAAAATTTTTTTTTCTCTCTCTCTTTTTTTTTTATTGGTACTGGGGATCGAACCCACAACTGCCCGCTTGCAAGGCAGGTGCTTATGCCGCTGAGCTAAATCCCCAGCCCCTTTTATCACTTACTTTTGTTGAGAACAACAAACTACAGATTAAATTTGAGAACAAAGCATAAATCCACATTTGTCAAAACTATGTGGAATTAAAGGTGATGGCCTATGTGAAGGAAGTATTACTGGCGGACTCATTTTTGAGACAAATTAATGGACAATTGCTGGACAGAAGCATGGTAGGAAAGGGATAATATGAAAAACAAAAATACCATTTGGGCTGGGGAAGTCATTCAGTGATGTTTAAGCAAGCAGCGAGACTCTGGCTCAATCCTTAGCACGAAAACCAAGCAAACAAGCAGAAAACCCAGTATGATTTGCCTGAAACAAGACATTATGTTAAGCCCAGTGTGGTGCATGCCTATAATTATAGCACTAGAGTGGCTGAGGCAAGAGGATCACTGTGAATTTAAAGCCTCAACCACAAAGCAAGACTGTGTCTTGAAAAAAGAAAGAAAGCAAAAATGACATAGATGTCAGAAAGCGAATATAGTTTACAGGGCCTAGAAAAATAATATTGTTTACATGAAAAACACATATGAATTCTCAAAAACAGTAAGTGACCACCCCAGTAGAAAACTACCATATTTCTAGTTTCTAACATACACTTGATACTTGAGGACATTCAGAAAATGTGAACTTCTTTGAAAGCAGCTAACAGATACTTGATGTATTACTATAAAACCTTTAAAAATAGAACATGTTGGGGCTGGGGATTTAGCTCAGCAGCATAAGAGTCTGTCTTGCAAGCGCGTGGTTATGAGTTTGATCCCTGGTACCAAAAAAAAAAAAAAAAAAAAGAAAAAGAAAAAAAAATAGAGCATGTTAGAGGTTTAGAGGTTAACTTATCTCACAAGTGTGTCTTAGTATTAGGTACTGGGGATCAAACTCATGACCTCATGCTTGCCAGGCAGACACTTATGCCAGCCTCTTAATATTATTTTTTAATTTTAATTTTAATTTTTTTGTCTTTTTCATTTTTATCAGTACCAGGGATCGAACTCACGACTGCCTGCTTGCAAGGCAGGTATATGCCGCTGAGCTAAATCCCCAGCCCCCCCACCCCCCAGTATTGTTTAATGTGCTGCTTCAAAGTAACATTAAGCCTTGCTTAAAATTCCAGGTCCTGTTTGAAGACAATCATTCTGTTATTCTTAATTTCTTTAGGACACAGAGCCTCGCATCTAACAATTCAGTCATTTTGGATGGACTTAAAAGAAGACAACATTTTCTACAGAACTTTGAAGGCACAACGCACAATCAGACATTCATACCCAATTCCATACTACAACTAACTACAGCCATAAATGTTTAGTTTTCTTTTTTTCTTCTTTTTAGTTTCCTTTTTGGAAAGTCTTTTTAAAAAATATACAGTGGAATCTTTCAATCACATGTTGAGTCCTCTGAATCCAAGCATGTATGCTGTTAGCCTCATTATGTATTTTGTTATACTGTTTTTTCTGTTTTGATATTTTAAAACATTTTTTAGTATATTTTACAGAGAATTTTTTGGAAGTGTATAGATTGCATTTTTTTTTTTTTTTTTTGTACTAGGAATCAAACTCATGACTTTGCACTTGGCAGGCAAGTGCTGTGCCACTGAGCTATATCCTCAGCCCCTGCATTTTTTTTTTCAAGTATGAAATCTTTGGTCCTTCTCTAGTTAAATGTCACTCATTTACATTTGTTAGTTCCTCCAATACACAGGATCCTAATTTACTATCCTGTAGTGAATTTCTTTACCTACCTTGAGTTCTTATGGTAAGTAAATCTTAATAGATTCCAACATAAAATCCAGGAACGAGTATATTTTAGGGTTGTGTAGTTACTTTGCAGTTAAAGTCTTTTATCATTAGCAGAAAGAATTTATGTAATGTGTTGGCTACCTTGCAACATTAATTCTTTTCATTCTGTAATTGCTGCCTAGGGTCTTCTCTCAACCAGCTTGAACATGAGCAAATGGCTCCAAATAAAATGACTGACGATGCCCAGAGCTTCGGCGGCAGTACACATTTCATTCTTCTCTGCTTTCAGGCTCTTTCTATAGCAAGGCAGGGAGAGGTCAGATGAAAGATAAAAAGTGGAACGGCTTGTAGTGATGGAGTTCTGAACTAGAGACTTAAAGAAAGGTGGAAGAAGATTGCTAGTTGTTAAGCACTTTATCCTCATTTTGATCCATTTCTGCTCAGAAGACCTGGCTAGCTTCACCAGAATCTTTTCTGGGAGGCTGTTTTCAGACCAAGAGGTGGAATGGTCTGCTTGGTTGGATTATAGAGCCATCAAGACTGGTTTGATTTGTAACCCCAGCACTCAGAAGGCTGAAGCAGGAGGACTGATGCAAGTTTGAGACCAAAGTGAGCTCAAGGCCAGGCTGAACTGCATAGTGAGACCCTGTCTCAAAAAGACCAAAAAAAAAAAAAAAAAAAAAAAAAAAAAAGATTTTGAGCAGATTAGGTGGACGGTGCTGGGTTATGGTAATGAGGATGTATAGTAGACTTCTTTAAGGATAATCCTAGCCTTAGATCTCAAAGATGAAGAAAGTGCCTCTTCTCACGTCTCACCATGCATCAGTGAAGCCCTGCACAGAGCTGCATGGATGTGGAAGAGGGGAGGGGAGGTTTACTGCTGTTTTGCAGCAACAGACAGATCCTTTGCTCATGACTCTATTATGAATCACAGACATTAAAGATGGAAATATATCCTATTAAATTGTGTCAGAGATTATTCTCCAAAATAGGGCAGTATTTTTTTTTTTTTCTTTTTGCGGTACTGGGGATCGAACTCATGACCTTGTGCTTGCCAGGCAGGCACTTAGCCCACTGAGCTAAACCTCCAGCCCCAGGGCAGTATTTTTGAATAATTGTTTTTTAATGAAACTTTCAGCTTTTGATTTTTCTTCCTCAATGGTTGAAATTACACAAGCTCAGTAAAGCAACATCAGCCCCTGCTGGTGGGATACAATTAAACTACACATATATGTTACTCAGAGTCGAAGAGGTCATACTGAACGCAGTTAAGCACAAAATGTCATGTTCATGTGGAAAGAGTCCATAGAAGAGAAAAACTGGTGAGCTGGGTGTATGGCCCACACCAGTAATCCCAGCACTAGGAGGCTGAGGCAGGAGGATCACCTGGAGTTCAAGGCCAGACTGGGCTACATAGTGAGTTCAAGGTGCCCTGGACAACATAGTGAAACCCTGTCCCTAACCCCCACCTCACCTAAAAGAGATTTCAACCCACTGTATTTTGAATCCTGTCTCTAGTATGGGTGAAGACTTTCAGGCAAGAAGGAAGACAGGATATTGCCTAATGGAGGTGGTGGGGAAGGCAGATAAAAACAGCAGTGAGTATATGAAAGATGAACTCAATACTACTCTTGTAGCCTCTCGTTTCTGTGTTGGAACGTCAGAATTTCTCTAACAGAAGCGATTGCCAAACATTTCTTAGGTAACGGTGCCCTCTTCTGGGGTAGCAGTGATTTGAATTAGATGCTAGAGACATACACACATGTATACATGTTCAACATGTTTAAAATCCTCCTTTCCAATGCTGTCAAAACTTGTGCCGAGGGGCCTGGGGATTTAGCTCAGTGGCATAAGCACCTGGCTTGCAAGCAGGCGGTCGTGAGTTCGATCCCTGGTACTGATACAAAGGAAAAAGACAAAAAAAAAAAAAAAAAACCTTGTGCCGTGCGCTGTTATTGCTCATCCTCCCAACTGCCCACAGTCTGCATCATTCTCCCTTTACTAACACAAATGATCAGAGTTAACCAAAGTCAAATGGCTAGCGGCGGGGAGAAATCCCCTTTTCTCTCACACTGTATTTTCTTCCCGCTTTGCCTTTGTTTTGTGTTCTTTCCTTTGGTCCTGGGAACCTAACTCAGGACTTTGCACTTGCCAGGGAGGCACCGTGCTGCGAAGCTCAGCCCTGATGCCTCTGCTTCCTCAGTACTCATTCTCTGTTTCCAGTGTCTCTTGGTGAATTTGTAAGTGCTCTTTAAGCTGCTTCCACAACAGTGTTTTCAAAATGATAGTTGTATTTTTTATTACATGAGTTTGACATGCATATGTAACTGTCAAATTTAATGCTGTTTTTGCTTTCTATATAACTATGGAGTAAAATTAAAAATCTAGCCCTGTAGATTTTTTGTTTTGTGGTGCTGGGATCAAACTTAGGGCCTTGTAACAGACTAGGCACTCTACCACTGAGCTACCCTAGCCCTATAGTTTTGAAAGTAGGCAGAGAGAGGCAAATTTATTTTTTATTTTATTTATTTTTTATCAGTACTGGGGATCGAACTCACGACCACTTTGCAACTCACGAGCGCCTGCTTGCAAGGCAGGTGCTTATGCCACTGAGCTAAATCCCCAGCCCCAAGAGGCAAATTTATAAAGTCATCTTTTTTTTTTTTGACACAAGGTCTTGGTATATAGTGCAGGCTAGCTGCAAACTCACATAAAGCCTCCTGCCTCAGCCTTCCAAGTGCTAGGGTTACAGGTGTGTGCCACCCCACCAAACACGTATTTTGTGTTTTATCTTAAAAGTCACAGAATTTATTTTAATAAGCTAAGGCTAAATACAAGGGAAATCCTTACACAACCTTGAAACAGAGTGGCAAATAAAGAACTACAATTTTGTAGAACATATCTAATTCTGTAACATACTTGGAAAATAAAGATGTTCTAGTTAAGGGCCGAGGATTTAGCTCAGTGGCATAAGTGCCTGCCTTGCAAGCGTGAGGTCATGAGTTTGATCCCCAGTACCAAAAAAAGAAAAAAGTTCTGGTTAAGCTGTTACTTGGTGGCTAGAAGTATAGCTCAGAGGCAGAGACTGTTCCTAGCATACACAAGTTCCTGGGTGGATCCCTAGCACTGAAAAAGAACACCACCACCACTATGTTGGTGCCCATCACCATGGTTTGTGCCTAGTTCCAGCTGTAGGGAGGCTGAGGCAGGAGACTGCTTGATCCCAGTTCAGGATTACATTTTGAACTGCACATTTGTTTGCTTGTGGTATGCCTCCCTTTGCTTTTAGATCTCATCATCATGACAAAAATCTTTTTGAGTTTTTTTCAATTAAAAGATAGGTCCTAATTCCCATGTTTTCTAGGTGACTGAGGGAAGATGATATACACCAAAAACAGTGTGGCACCTCTCTTGCACCCAAATATTTTCCACCACAACCACTCCTTGGTGAAGTTATTCATGTAATTTTGCACTTTCCCTTTCCACCTGGCACAGATAGCAGCCAGAAATTTGGCTCAGTGAGTTTCAAGCTTAGAGCATTATGAATAGTGCTGTGAGACAGGTCTCCTGGAAAACTCAAGCCTTTATCTCCTCAGACCTGCTGTTAGACCCTCTGATATGTGATGTCAAAATAAGTGGTTTCTTGTTTTGTTTTTGAGGCTGGGCCTCCTTATATAGTGCAGGTTGACCTTGCATTTGCTTAGGTAGCCCATCGGTGAACCTCCTGCCTCAGACTCCAGAACGCTGGGTGGGATTACAGACGTGCACTGCCACACCCCGCAAAAATAAGCCTCTTGGGGAGTTAAAACTTTACTACACCCAGCTGCGACTTCCACAAGGTATTAACCTCCGTTCCTTTTATCCCCTTTTACATGTGGCATCCTTTGCTACACCTGCTGGACATTATCATACCCTATTGTGGGTCTACCAAGACTTCACCATGGTAGGCTTGGGAGTGGACACCAAGGAGTAGGACACAGGGATTTAGAAAAGCTCCCATCTGTACATGCATATATTGTTACAGTGTAGGGGGGTTAGCTGAGCATTCCTTGTGTGCCTAGCATTAAATCTAAACATGTTTCTTGATGCAGCCCACCCAAAATTATTCAGAAAAATGGATGCGATCACTGTTACTTATGTGGCTCCAGTCAACTCCAAACTCCACATAAAGCACTCAAGATGTCGCCAGAGGCACGTTTAAAGGATTTGCTGGAGCACCTGTTTGTTAACCACTTAGTTCAGTGGCAGCTGCAGAGCTGAGGAGGTCATGAAAAGATACACAAACGACCTCAAGAAGAAAATCATCTACTTAAGTTGTACATGCCAAAGCAGTTAGCGATTCCTTGAAATTTTTCAGTTTTCTATAGGGTTGTGATTCAGGGAGGCAGTTAATCCCCACTGGTAAAATAAAATTTATTCCATGTAAATACATAATCTGTCAAAAGATTTAAAGTTTGTTTTTCCTCTAGCAGAAAATGCTGGGTTCCCCACCCACCCACCTTTTTTCTTTAAAACACTTTCCCCCACACATCCTGCAAGACTTAAAAGCTTTCAAACACAGTGCAGCACTCAGGCGGCTGAGGCAGGAGGATCGCTGTTTATCCAAAAACAGCTAGGGATACAAAACCACACACACCGGTAAGAGGAGAGGGAAGGCAAGCTTCCTAGTTGGTGTGGTAGACTAAGCGTTGATTCAAGAGATTATTTAGTCCCATCTGTGCTATTAGTTGCGGCTTCAGACAAGTAAATTCCTTTTGCGGGTGAGTTTTGCTTCCCGCGATGTCAAATGGGGAACGCGAGAAGAGAACCAATACTTAACTCTGCGTCTAAAGCCTAAATATTCAGGGATTGACATGCGTCCCGCTCTCGCCTTCCCTTCAGGCCCAGCCAGCCCCTTCCCACCCAGAAAGCCCCAGGACTTCAACGCCCAGCTGCTGGCTTAGCGCAAAACCGTTGGACGTTAACACCCCCCGCAGTGGGCGGAGCGAGGGCTGCAGCTTCCGGCGGCGAATGGCGAAGTGGCGCGTGGCGCTCCCCGCCCCCTGTGGCACGGGCCCACATAGGACCCGGCCAGCCGTGCGCCCCAACCTCTACTTGCTTTTGAGGGGCTTCCCACTCGTGCAGTGCATGCTGGGAAGCCCCGAAGATTCTCTGGAATGCCGGTAACAGTCCGGGGTGGGGGAGGGGGAGAAACTGAATCATTTATGCTGGTCAATGCGCGTAACCTTTATGGAGATTGGCCAGGTTTTACTCTAGAAACCAATCATTTTAAGAGTAAGGGCGGGACAATCGAAGTGTGTCACACTTATTGGCTAGAAGGTTGCGGCGCATGGGAAGAGTTTAAACTGAGAGTATCCGGGATTATTTTCCCTCCGCGCCGTGCGCTGCGTGTCCCGGAAGTGACGCACAGCCTGGCCGGGCGGCCACCCTGCCCCCGCTTCCTTTCACGCTGTCGCTACCCGTGGGTGGCTGTGGCCACGATACCCAGAGGGAGGTGGCGGCGGCCAGTAATGCCTGGGAAACTCCTCTGGGGGGATATTATGGAGCTGGAGGCACCCTTGGAAGAGCCTGAGAGCCAGAGGAAGGAGCGGCACAAGGTGCGCTGAGGATGGGCCGCGCCTCCTTTTGGGCTACGCCGGCCTGGGTGGGGAGAGAAAATGTCCCTCATGGTGGCCTGTCAGGACCCGGCCCAAGCATCCGTGGGCTTCCCCTTCGCGCCATCCTGGGCCTCTGAGGGCGCACGGAGACCTCTCCCGCCGTTACACTTCGACGGAAGGACGGCCCCGGCTTAGACTCGGCCTCCATCCATTCCCGTTGGCGCCTGTGTCTCTGCTAAGGGATGGGCAGGCTGAGGCGCCCGTCGCCGCCAAATCTTTCCTTTTTCCCTAAGCAGCAAAGCCTGTCATTTAATTCTGCGGGGGCCGTCTTAGGAGATGATTAAGAAAAATGATTGCCTTGTCTATGTATTGCTTGTCTGTCACCTTGTCTGGTGTGTAAGAATTTTAGGGAAAGAGATTTAGGTTTACAAATCTCGGTAAGTAGTTTATAGAGCTTAAGGAGTGATGTCACAGCCAGCGTTGCCAGGATTTGTCTGTGATGGAGATCGTGTGGTTGTCAATAGTTATTATTGTCAGTATTTTCAATCCACAGGTATTTGTCGAGCCCACTTTGTATCACATTCTTTGCTGAGTGCGAAGGAGTTTATAAACTATTTAAATATGACAAGTGGTCCCTATCCTCAAAGAGCCTGTAGTAGTTTTAGAGGCCCCTAACCCCTTCATAAAAAGAAAAGAAAAACCTCAAAAGGGTTACCGAGAGAACAGCTGGAGGGTAAAATAGTAGTATTTGAGGACAGGTATTGGACAAAAATAAAATAAGACTAACTCTGTACACTACTTAAAAGCAGAAAGTGGCCAATCATTAAGGTAAATTTGCCATTCCAGCCAACCAGGGTTTATTTGTTTAAGACAATCTCACTATGTAGTTCAGGTCTTGAACTTACAGTGTAGTCCAAACTAGCATTGAATTTGTGATCTTTCTGCTTAAGCCTCCTGAGTGCTGGGGTTATAGGTGTGTGCCACCACATGGCATTCTGTTTTATTCTATTCTGTTCTGTTCTTTGTCTTTTTGAGACAGAGTTTTACCATGCAGTTTAGACTAGCCTTGAAGCTCACTTTTTTAGCACAGATTGGCCCCGAACACACTGAGAGCACTGGGGTTAATGGGAGAGCACCATCATGCCTCACTTTGTTTTATTGTTTTTTTGGTTTTTTTTTTTTTTTTTCTGGTTCCAGGAATTGAACTCAGAATCTCATGCATGCCAGGCAGGTGCTGTGCCACTGATCTATATCCCTGCCCCTGTTTTACTGTTTTTCTTTTGTGATAAAATATACAAAACTTAAAATTTACATTTTAACCAGTTTAAAGGGTGTAGTTCTGTGGCATTACATGTATTCACATTGTTACACAGCTGTCACCACCATCCACTTCTGTAACTTGCTCATCTTTTCACGCAGGAAGTCTGCCCAATAAACACTACTTCCCCATTCATTTTCCCCAGCTCCAGGAACCACTGTTCTGTATCTAAGAATTTGATCACTATGGGTGACTTAGGGTAGACTATAAATGGAAACCACAGGCAGTTAATTTTAATTTGAGCTCCTCTTGAGGTGCTCAGTTTTGTTTTTGTTTCACTGTGTGGAACCAGGCTCTTTTAACACACTAGGCAAGTGCTCTAGCATTGAGTTATATAAACCCAATCTCTGTTTATTTTATTTTAGTACAGGATCCTGCTAAGTTACCTACAGTAGGCTCAAACTTGTAATTCTCTTGCCTCAGACTTTATAGAGTATCTGATATTAAAGGCATGCACCTCCACATCTTTTTTCTTTTGCATCCAAGCACTGTATCTTCTAAGATCTAGCTTATGTCTTTTCTAACCACCCCAGGGTACAGTAACCTTATCCCCTATTTAAAACTTAACAGTGTTATTTGATTAACACCTGTTATGTGTGTTCCTTTAAAGTTAGCTTATTTTTTCCTTTGTGTATCTTTTCTAAATATTTCCCAAAGATTCTTTAGAAAAATTATTGGGTTTGTTTTGTTTTGTTTTGTTTTGGTCTTGGGATTGAACTCATTACCTCATGCCACTGAGCTAAACCCTTGGCCAAAAAATATAATCATATTTTTGTTTATCCTTTCATCTTTGGTTTTGTTTTGTTTTGTTTTTTGGATAACGGGAATTGAACTCAGGACCTCATACTTGCCAGGCAAGTGCTGTGCCATGGAGCTAAATCCCTGGTCTCTATCCTTTCGTCTTCTGTATTATTCTGAGTTGGTGACTCCCATTGTATATTCTCCAGAAACACTTTATCGATTGTCCTTTATGATAGATAGCTGGAGATTTGGAAATCTATTGGAATTGAGCATTAGACTTGGTGTGGCATTGCGATGAAGATAAATTTGGTTTGAATATACTGTGATATGGAGCTGAGATACAGGTTCTTCCAACTGGAATGCAGAGAGAGAAGAAAGTCTGGAGACGTGGGTCAAAGTCATAGAAATGGTGGAAAGGTATATGTGGAGAACAGATTTGAGGAGTACATCTCTAGCAGGGAAGGAGAGGAACCATTGAAGATGTGATAGAGGTAAGAGGATAAGAGAGGCATAGAGAATACAGTGGAAAACAAAGAAATGGAAGAGTGTCAAGCTCTGCGAGTCTGAAGTAGAATGAAGGATTGCATTACTGTAGGTTGCTCTTTGGCTCAATTTGGCAGTCTCACTTTGCGTTTGTTTCATCTTGTCCCTGAAGTGCAGCACCCAAGAGCAAATCAAACCCCAGAGCTGGTTATATAAATAATCTTGTTTTTCTTTAGAATTTACTGATTTGAGGAGGTGTTGGCTAGAGTAGTTAACTAACGATCAAATGATGTAACATGTAATTGCAAAGCATTTTCACATGTACTGTGGTATTCTGTTCTCACAATAACTTTTCAACTTTTTTTGAAAGAGAAAGTTATATGCTGAAGCATTCTGAAACATGTAAATTGTGAAAATTTTATCACTAATAACTACCATTGATTTATTTTAAAAATTCCACCAAGTAATTCTGAAGAAGTGTTGAATTTCCAAATCATTTCTTGGGGACCGCAAATATTAAAACCTTGCTTGTAGTTTGGCATTGTAAAACTGACGTTGCAGAGTCGTGGCTTTGTTTTTTATGTTTTAAAGTTCTGTTAACTAAATGAAAAGGAATTTAATTTCCAAGATTACTGTTCTTCCATGGAAATAAAACAGTTGGAATTTCTTATCTTTTTTTGTTTAACTTGTTAATTGTTAAGAGTTAGAAAAGGAGTGTGATGTGAAAAGATAGGATTTGAGTTAGAACTCTAGTACTTTTTCCTACAGGAAATCCCACATGTGGATTTCTGGCTACAGTATTAATTAATCTCTAAGAATTTCTGTTTCTGCCCGTGTGGTGGTACAAGCCTGTAATCCCAGCACTGGGGGCTGATTCAGGGAAGATCACCCCAGCTTTGAGACCAGCCTAAGGCTACATAGCAAGTTTAAGGCCAGCTGGATACATAGTAAGACCGTGACCCAAAAGAAGAAAACAAAAAAATCCAAGCAAAGCAACAATAAAAATTCTGTTTTTTTTTCATCTGTAAAATGACAAAGGTAATACAGGTTCACAATCCCTTATCCAAAATCCCTGGAACTAGGTATGTTTTGAATTCAGAATTCTGGGGATTTTTAGAATGGTGACATCCCAGCAGGGTTTGGGAACTAGAACCAGTAATCAGAGACCCTAATGTTAAATATAAATACTCATACCAAGTGGGATAAAGACTGTAAGAAGCCTTATGGTAGTTCTAGTTGAATTTTGCCATCAAATGAGTTCAGATCAGATATGGTTTTACCACCAAATAAATTACAAAAAAACTTTCGGTTTTCAGAGCTTTATGGATATCGGAATTTCGGATAAGGGATTATGGACCTGTACTTCCCTTATAGGGTTGCTATGAAGATATAAACAAGATAAGCCGAAAACACATTACATAATGCTGGGTAGGTACTCAATAAATATTAATGTTTTTCTCTTGGAGATATTGGAAGTTCTTGTTTGCGTTTTAATTTATAATTTTGACATTCTCGTTCTTTTCCTGAGAAGGAGCTATTTTAATTCCCCCAAAATCTTATGATGGGATTAGAGATGGACTAGACCCTGAGTCTTGAGAATACAAGAGATGGCATGAAAGTTATAGTAACAGGTAAGGCTTAGAGCTTGGCATTAATTACCAGTTTGGATTTCTGCCAGGTAGACAGATTTTCAGTATAATTGTAGATTGAATTTAACTGGTTGGGGAGTCATGCTCTAACTTCTCAGAAATCCTCAAAGCAGACCTGCGATCCTTTTGTTCCTGTTTTTTTGTCCACAGAATGATAGAAGGAAGTCAAGGCACCGTCATGACTCAGATGAGAAAACCGAAACAAGAGAAAATGGTGTTACAGATGACCCAGATGCTCCCAAGCCCAAAAAAGCTAAAATTAAAGAGAAACTAAATGGAGATACTGAAGAAGGATTCAGCAGACTTTCAGATGAATTTTCTACATCTCATAAATCAAGAAGAAAAGATCTATCAAATGGAGATATTGATGAATGTGAAAAAAAATCTAAACGAGTGTCATCCTTAGAAAATTCTCATAAATCAAGTGATAATAAACTAGAGGAGGTATGGATGCTCTTTATTTTGGAGTTGACATTATCTTTTTTTTTTTTTTTTTTTTTTTTTTTGTCTTTTTCCTTTTTATCGGTACGGGGAATCGAACTCACGACTGCCTGCTTGCAAGTCAGGTGCTTATGCTGCTGAGCTAAACCTCCAGCCCCTGGAGTTGACATTATCTTTGAAATATAGGCTGACTTGATTCTGTACTGTTTCTAGTTTAGGATCTAGTGCTCATATTTGGACTACAGAGAGTCGTACAGCTGAAATCTGAACTTTTGTCCTTTGGCTCTTGTTTCTTATTGTATTGCCTTTTTCTTGGGGGTGAAAGTGGGAGAACGCTCACATTTAAACTTTTTCTGTACACATGGGTTTTCCTAAACAGTTTTACCAAATTATATTTTGGTGGTTTACATATATGCTTGTCTTTTTTTTGGAAGTAACTGGTAACTGGGGATTGAACCCTGAGCCTTCACACTGAGCTTCAACTCCAATTCATTTTGTATTTTCTTTCTGAGGCAGGGTCTTGCTATGTAGTTCAGGCTGGTCTTGAGCTCACTACATAGCCCTGGCTGGCCTTGAACTCATAGCCGTCCTCCTGCCTCCCAAGTGCTAGGATTATAGGCGTGGGCCACCATGCCCAGTTTATGTTTTCATTTTGTGAGACTGAATAACTGAATTCACTGAATTGTCCAGACTAGGCTCAAACTTGCTGAACTGTTACCTATGCCTTCTGAGTAGATGACACATCTGTGCCACTGCACGTGGCTACCTACTTGGATTTCTTATGACTCTTCAGTCCCTTCCAGTGATTGTGAATTGATTTCCTGGTACAAGATACAGAAGACTGCTTGATTATGTCTATTTTGGCTTCTGCTTTTTCTGTTTCTGTAATAACAGCAGCATTAAATGATAATTAGATTTTTGTCATTCACTGTTAAAGCTGTTTACATTTTTAAAACAAGATCTAAAGAAAATCTGTTTTTCTTTGTTTTCATTGTTTGAGACAGAATCTTCACTGTATAGTCTAGGCTGGTCTCGGGTTCTCAGTAATCCTCCTGCCTCAGCATCCTGAGTGCTGCTATTACAGGCATGTGCCAGTATACTCAGTTTACAGATTGTTCCTTGAGCTATTGGGATTTTTGCTGGTATAATGCTGTGTATTATAACAGGGCTAGCTATCCATTATTTAGTTTAGAAAGATTAGATACCAGGAACTTCAGCTTTTAGGACTTTATTCTGATGCGTTAATTATGACATGTACTCCTAATGAACTCATTAGAATATCAGCACTCAGGAAGCTGAGGCAAGAGGATTATTGTGAGTTCGTGGCCAGTCTGGCTTACATAATGAGTGTAAGACCAGCCTAGACTATACAGTGAGACCCTGTCTCAAAAAAAAAGGGAAGAAAGAAAAAAACTTTCACTGATTGATTTTAGCTGAGATTATAGGTTATTTTAAAATTTACAGTATTTCTATCTCTGTGCTCTCTAGAATTTCTACAATTAAAATGTATTATTTTCATGATTTTTTAATCTTAAAAAGACAACAGGTGAGTGCAGTGGTACACACCTGTAGTCTCAGCACTCCAGAGGCTGAGGCAGGAGGATCATAGTGAGTTCAAGGCCAGTCTGGGTTACATAATCTCAAGGCTAGCCTGGACTATATAGCAAGATCCAGTCTCAAAAAAAAGACAACATCAGGGCATGGGTGGCACACATCTGTAAACCCAGCCCTCATGAGGCTGACACAGGAGAATTGAAGTCAGTTTGAAGCCATTGTAGGCTCTATATTGAGTTCCTGGTCAGTCTGAACTATACAATAAGACCCTATCTCAGAAAGAAAGATAACAGCGGGGCATGGTGGCACATTCCGTAATCTCAGCACGTTGGGAGACTGAGGCAGGTTGCAAGTTGACCACCACCCTGGGCTACAAAGTGAGCTCAACACCAGCCTGAACTGCATAGTGAAACCCTGTCTTTTTTTTTTTTTTTTTTGTCTTTTTCCTTTGTATGGGTACTGGGGATCGAACTCTCGACTGCCTGTTTGCAAGGCAGGCGCTTATGCCGCTGAGCTAAATCTCCAGCCTCCGTGAAACCCTGTCTTGAAAAGACCAAAAAAAAAGGATAATGTTACATTTTATTTAAATGGCTTAAAACTTGGAATCTGATATTCTTATCTTTGGCATCCAGTTTGAAAAAATGCTGTTGTGTGGTTATATAAACTATTCTTTAAACATACAAATAATAAAGTTTACTGGTAGACATATACATTGACTAATATAAAGAGTGCTCAGTAGATCTTAATAGTAATCTCAATACATGCTTTATTTTTTGTTTTTTTGAGATAGGTCTCACTATGTAGTTTAGTTTAGTCTTTTTTTTTTTTTTTTGTCTTTTTCTTTTTATCGGTACCAGGGATCGAACTCATGACTTCCTGCTTGCAAGGCAGGCACTTATGCCGCTGAGCTAAATCCCCAGCCCCTGTTTAGTTTAGTCTTGAACTCACTCTGTAGCCCAAGCTGGCCTTCATCTTGAGGTGATCCTCCTATCTCAGGGTCCAGAGTGCTACAATTGTAGGCATTTGCCACCATTCCTGGCTAACCTGAATATGTTTTTAAAAAATGTTAAGCCAGGTATTAGTGGCACCTTCCTATAATCCCAGTATTCTGGAAGGCTGAGGAAGGAGAATTCCAGGTTCAAGTCCAGCCTGTGTGAATTAGTGACTTAGCAAGACCCTTTCTCAAAATAAATTAGAATTTTTTTTTCCTTTTTTTTGGTACAGGGATTGAATTTAGGACCTTGTGTTTGCCAGGCAGGCAATGGCTACTGAGCTATATCCCCGACCCAAAATAAAAATTTTTTAAAGGACTGACATACAGTTCAGTGTGAAGGCCCTGAGTATTGGGAAAATGTTAACCTTGCAGAATTTTTCCCTGTGTTAATGCCCTAAAAAAAAAAAAAGCCATAGAACATGCCAGATATGGTGGTATACATACCTGTAATCCTAGCACTTGGGAAGCTGAGGCAGGACAATCTCTATGAGACCAAGACCGGTCTGGGATACATTGTGAGTGCAAGGCTAGCCTGAACTACACAATGAGACCCTGTCTCAAACAAAACAAACTCCCACAAAACATTTTAAACTATTTTTTGGAAAAGTTTGCTTTCCTCACTGTGTAGTTTCTTGCTTGCTTCATAGTTGATATTACCTATATTTGTAAGTATGTAGATTATTATACTTACTGTTAACTGGAAATTATTACATTTACAGTTAACTGGAAAAATTTTTTTGCAGTACTGGGGATTGAATCCCAGGGTACTTAAACACTAAGCTACATCCTACCTTGTGTTTTATTATTTATTTATTTATTTTTGGTACTGGGGCTCAAACTCATGACCTCACACTTGCCAGGCACGTGCTTACGCTGCTAAGTTAAACCACTGGCCCATCCTACCTTAAAAATTTTTTTTAGGATCTGGCTGTATCACTAAGTTGCCTAGGCCTGGCTTAAATTTACGATCCTCTTGCCTCAGTCTCCTTCAGAGCTGGGATTATAAAAGTGTCTGGTACCATGCCAGGCTATGTAGGTATAGATAAATATCTAAGGGAAGTGGTATGAGTGAATTAAATATTTTAAAATATAAATTAAGTTTGCTGTTTAAAGAGATACTTTTGAAATTAGAATTTCCCACTAATTTTTTCTGTTAAGTTAATGTACAGTTTTTTGCAAGTACTAACCACAGTTGATTAGTAAAGTTAAAAATGCTAAATGAGTAAAAGTCAAACATAAATACGTTATTTAGAACTTCTATTTCCTTCTGACAGACTCTAACACGTGAACAGAAAGAGGGAGCCTTCTCCAATTTCTCTATTTCTGAAGAGACTATAAAGCTTCTGAAAGGTACTACTGGTTTTAATAGACATGCAGTTCGAAATCTATGACTATGATGGTGCACACCTGTAATCCCAGCATTTGGGAGGTTGAGGCAGGAGGATTCCTATGAGTTCATGGCCAGCCTGGGCTACAAAGTGAGTTCAAGGCCATCCTGAACTGCATAGTGAAGACCAAAAAAAAAAATATTCTGTGACCACATTTTGTAAAACTGTTGTACCCTTTCTGACCGTGAGCAGACTAAAGAGAAATAGCTCTTCTTGAATTGCATTTATTTTTTATATCATCCTTTTTAGTAACATAACATTAACTATATGAGTCATGCTGGGCGTGGTGGTGCACGTCTGTAATCCCAGCACTTGGGAGGCAGAGGCAGGAGGATTGCCATGAGTTTGAGGCCAGCCTCAGCTACATAGCAAGTTCAAGGACAGTGTGAGCTCCATAGTGAGACCCTGTCTCAAAAAACAATAGTAACAACAATTAAAAAAAAAAGCCATATGTATCTATCAAAAATTTAGATTCATTTTGTTATAATTGCTGTTTGGGATACAAGTAATTGTAAATGTCGGTAGGTAGTATGTCTTCAGGTATAAGATGCTTCAGGAAGAAGCACTGTGATTTGCAGATGAGTATTTTTTTTCCTAATGGCAGTCTCGATATTTTAATTAAATTTCATTTTACAGGTCGAGGGGTAACATACCTCTTTCCTATTCAAGTCAAGACCTTTGGTCCCGTATATGAAGGAAAAGATTTAATTGCTCAAGCACGGACTGGAACAGGAAAGACATTCTCTTTTGCCATACCCTTGATTGAAAGGCTCCAAAGAAATCAAGAAACAATTAAAAAAAGCCGCTCACCAAAGGTAATGGTCATAAGGGAATAAAAGCTCTAAATATTACTCTATTCAAAAGGGGAAGGTAGAGTATTACCAGTTTGTTTCTTTTACCTTTTTTGTTTTGGGGCTGGGGATTGAACCGAGGGCCTCTTGCATTCTAAGCTCAGACTTTACTACAGAGCTACAACCTTGAAAGCATATAAAGTCAGGTAGCCTTGAGAGAGAAAACTTAGTTCTGTGATTTAAAGTAAAGATCTGGATCTTAAAACAAAAACACTGAGTTTTTTTTTCCTTTTTGGTACCGGTGATTGAACTCTTGACATCATGCTTGACAGGCAGGTGCTTGTGCCACTAAGCTAAACCACCTGGACAACTCTTAATTTTTTTTTTTTTTAATCAGTACCGGGGATCAAACCCACCACCGCCTGCTTGCAAGGCAGGTGCTTATGCCGCTGAGCTAAATCCCCAGCCCCAACACTAATTTTTTTTACATAAGGAAAAACTGATGTGAAATAGTTATTGCATACAAATTTAATGTGTATGGAGTCATAGATGTCTTTAAAACTTCATGTATTTTGAAGGTAGCATGTCTTATTTTGGGAGTATTCTAAGTGTACTTAGAAGTGTGTGTGTGTGTGTGTGTGAGAGAGAGAGAGAGAGAGAGAGAGAGAATGAGAGAGAGAGAGAGAGAGAGAGAGAGAGAGAGAGAGAGAATGTGAGAGAGTGAGTTTACAGTCCTGGGGATTAAACCCAGGTCCTTTGTATTGAGCTATTTTTCCAACTCCCCTTTTTTTTTTCCTGTACCGGGGATCCAACTCACCATATCACACTCACTAGGCAGGTGCTTATACTTTTGAACTAATCCCTGGCCCCAAGACTTAAGAGACCTTTTTTTTGGTACCAGGGGGTTGAACTCATGACTGTGTACTTGCCAGGCAGGCACTTATGCTGCTGAGATAAATCCCCAGCCGTCCAGCCCTTTTTATGGTTTATTTAAATTTAAATTTAAATTTTTTGGGTACTGGAATTGAATCAGGACCTTGCATTTGCAATGCAGGTACTTTCTTTTTTTTTTTTTTTTCTTTTTTATCGGTATCAGGGATCGAACTCACGAGCACACACTTGCAAGGCAGGCGCTTACGCTGCTGAGCTAAATCCCCAGCCCCGCAAGGCAGGTACTTATGCCACTGAGCTGTCTCCCCAGATCCCTTGCTTTTATGTTTTGAGACAGACTCTCACTAAGTCTCTTAAGTTGCCCAGGCCAAGCCCTGAACATGTGGTCTGTGTCAGACTCCGACAGTGCTGGCATAACAGGCACATGCACCATACACATTATACTTGGTATGGTCAGCAACTCTTTACTCTTTTTTTAGAAGTCCTGACTTCTGCTTTTAAAAAAGAGGTTTTATGGGCTAGGATTTAGCGCAGCAGCATAAGTGCCTGCCTGGCAAGCGTGAGATCGTGAGTTCAGTTCCTGGTACCAAAAAATAAAAAATAAATAAAGAAGGGGTTTTGTAAAGAGGTATTAATTTATATGGTGATTCAATAAGTACTCAACATGTGGCCAAGGATGTAGCTCAGTGGCATGAATGCCAGCCTGGCAAGTGTGAGGTTACGAGTTCGATCCCTGATACCAAAAGAAAAAAATTGCTCAACATCATTGATGTCACTGGTTGATTTTTTTGTGAAGATTTTTATAGGTATGGTATTACTGGTTTCTGCACAATTGTAATTCTGTACTGAAGATCTATCTTAAGTAATAAATAGTAAAATTAAGTAACAGAGTGCTAGTAGAGTTTTAGCCTAAAATTTGACCTTTTTAGCACCTGTATGTACTTCAAGGTTTGTAAAAGTGAAGAAGAAAAAAACCAGCATCATAATTTGAGTAGGTACATGACTAAAAATAGTAAGCATAGTGAGTGGTGTGTGGCTATAACCCTAGGCATGCTTGTAATCCAGCTCTTAGGAGGCTGAGGCAGGAGGGTTGTCACTAGTTTGAGGCCAGCCTGGGCTAAATGGTGAGACTGTATCTTGAAAAGGGTGAGCTCAGTGACACAAGATTTTGCCTGGCAAACACAAGATCCTGAGTTTGATCCCTGGTACGAAAAAAAAGTTGTTGGGTCAGGGATTTAGTTTAGTGGCCCAAGCGCTTGTCTGGAAAGCACAAGTTTGTGAGTTGATCCCTGGTACAAAACAAAACAACAATAACAACAAATTGTTAATAGACTACTACATGCCACTACAGTGTAAAAGCAAATTCATATATATAATATATATTATACTATATATATATAATTTAATCATAATAGCATTGGATGAGCTATCCCACGTCAGTTAGCTTGTGTTGGTTTATGGGACAAGCATTTTGTTTTGGAGAGTTCTGTTCTTGGGTGAAATCTGAAAAGACTACAAGTAATAAAAGTAGGGAACAATCCCAACTTTGCCTTGAAAGGTGTTAATAGAGAGTCCAGTTCTGCTCCTTTTAGCTATCTAGCTTGATCAAACCTTATATCTTCTTTGAAACTCTATTCCTCATCTATAGAAGTGGAATGCTAATGCTGCTTCATAGAGTTTTTGTGAGAATTGAAGTAGATAATTTTGTAAAGTATCAGTGCTTAGTAGATGGTGAATATTTATTCATTTAACCAGTATGTTTTGATTATCTGTTCTGTACTAGTCCCTAAAAGTACAAGGAATACAGTGACATCAGTCCCTGCCTTCGTGGAGCTTATGTTCGAGTTGTTTGAAATAGTCAGCAAAGATATAAAATAAAACTATAGGTGGTGGGAGTGCTGAGGAGAAGCAATAAAAACAGGGCAGAGTATAGAAGAGGTTTGGGAACTTCACAGAGGAAGTGGTTTTTGAAGAGACCTGATAGAAGTAGGATATAATATAAGTTGTTTTGTGTATGTGTTTGTGTTCTTTGTTTTTTTTGGTGCTGGGATCTAAACCAAAATAAGTGCCAAATAAGCACTTTACCACTGACCTACACCCCCAGCTTTGTACTGTGTCAAAAACTTACATTATCAATGTTGAAATTCCTTTTATTGTATTTATTTGGCCTTTTTGAGATAGGATCTCCCTATGTAGTTCAGATTGGCCTTGAGCTCACTCTGTAGCCCAGGTTGGTCTCGAACTTGCAGTGATCCTATTGCCTCAGCCTCCCAAGTGCTGGGATTACAGGCATGTGCCACCACATCTAGTAGAGATTCCTGTTTTTAAATGTACCTTTAAAAACCATTAAGTAGACTGAATTTATAGAAGTCTTCAGCTTTTGGAGTGGTATACAGTTGAACCCAGGTTCTCATAATGTTTGGTGTGAATTTTTCCATTGAGCTGTATCCTGAGCCGTATGTACATTTTCAGAAAAGTGCTTTTGTTTTTTAAACCTCTTTTTTTCAGGTACTTGTTTTGGCTCCAACACGGGAACTGGCAAACCAAGTAGCCAAAGACTTCAAAGATATAACTAGGAAACTCAGTGTGGCATGTTTTTATGGTGGAACATCATATCAAAGCCAAAGTGAGTAAATGTATAGGAAAGATGTAATTTTTACTTAAATCTAATGAGATAATGTGATATTTGATTTTTACATTTTACTGGCATTTTTCTCCCCTTACAGTAAATCATATTCGAAATGGTATTGACATTTTGGTTGGGACCCCTGGTCGTATCAAAGACCACCTGCAGAGCGGCCGCCTGGATCTTTCTAAACTGCGCCATGTTGTACTTGATGAAGTGGATCAAATGTTAGATTTAGGTTTTGCTGAGCAAGTGGAAGATATTATCCATGAATCCTACAAAACTGGTATATCCTAATTCATAACAAGCACATTAGCAATTCTTCAATCTTAAAAGCTTATTGTTTTTTTAATCTGATAACTTTGATTACATTGTCCTCTGCTGTTCTAATAAAACTAAAATGAATTTGGTATCTGTTCTCTCCCTGAGAAAAATGATAACATACTTAATTTTTACAGCTTTCTGGGGTTTTTTGTTTTTTAATTTTTATTTTATTTTATTTTATTTTATTTTTTGAGACAAGGTCTTGCTTTATAGTGCAGGCTTATCTTGAACTCACTTATCTAGCCCAGACTGTCCTTGATCTCATGGCAGTCCTCCTGCCTCAGCATTTGCAGTGCTGGGATTACAGGTGTGTACCACCATGCCCAGCAATCTATGCCTTTTCTCTTGTACTTTATAGTTACATTTAACAACTCATTTTACTGATTTCTTGTATTCATTCCTTTCTCACTTTTCTTATGAACTCATTTTTCTTCATACTGTTCCCTAATTTTGAAAACTGAAAGTTTGAATAGTTGCAGTGAAGTCTGTATGTCAAAAATTCTTCCAAAGTTTTGAATTTTTAACTGTTTCTTTGAAGCTTGTGATTTATAAGACCTGGCTACTGTATGAGATGTGAAGAAAACATTTGAATTCTTTTTGTTTGTTTAAGATTCTGAAGACAATCCTCAGACTTTACTTTTTTCTGCAACTTGCCCACAGTGGGTATACAAAGTTGCAAAAAAATACATGAAATCCAGATATGAACAGGTTGACCTTGTTGGAAAAATGACTCAAAAGGCTGCAACTACTGTGGAAGTAAGTAGCTTTCCAGCATGATAGATTTTAGCTTTTAGTGATAATGTACTTTTAAAATTCATTGAAGCTAAATTGCAGTTTTGTGTTCCTCTTTAGGCCTAAGCTGCTTTTTCTGGCCTTAGCTAATCAGATACATACATATTTCTATAGTCTAAAACTGAGGACCAGAATAGAATAAATAGGAAACAAAAAAATCATCTGAATAAAAAGTCATAACAGAAGATCCATAAACATCCATAGAGACAGGCTGAAAGTGTGTGTTTATTTTGCTTTTTTTTTTCCTTTTTTTGAGACAGAGTCTTCCTGTCCTTCA